CTCTTCATCAGTACGCACCCACCGAAAGGGTTTGAACCCAGGATTTTCTGGTTACAAGGCTAGCGAGCTCGTATACCATTAAGCCACTGGGACCCGATCAAATGGTCCATGAATTCTAACTTCTGCCAATTCACAACATAGCGTGACTCCTAGCCAATGTCTTCGGCGAGTATTTGTCCTCACACCCGACCTGCTGCACCCTACTGGTCACGACTTCTCACTAGAAACCCAGGTAACTGCTTACCTTGTAACCAGGAGGTCCTGGGTTCGAACCCTGTCGGTGGGTGCCTACTGATGAAGAGTCCCAAACTAGGAAAAAACAGCTGTCCAGTACTCCCAGGATTTCCTATGCTTCTCTAACTAATGTCAGCTCATGATGAAATCCTGTAAAAGATAATATAATTTAACAGATACCATATAATAACCGATATTGAGGTGAATCACATAGGTCACACTATTAGATTGGGGTCAACTAGATTATGGGAATATAATTTACTTAGACCAAGAATAATTAACCCTGTTCAGTTAAATAACCTAGAAAAAGCCCAGAGCTCAGCCATGGCACTGTATTCACTTGCATTTAATCACATAATAGGGTGGGTGGGACAGGGTACGAGTATTATAAAGTAATATAGTTAGGTGGAAAGACATAGAAGATAATCACTGAAGCTTTTTTCTATGGAATCAACACCACCCACACGCGCTATCGGAATGATGTAACGCATCGCCTATACTGAAGATACAGAAAGTGACAACAAACAACAAATGGGATTTGGAGAAACAAAAAGAGAGAAAATATGTATAGAAGACAAATTGTGAAACCGTGTGGTTAGGACGATCGCCGACCATGCACATGGTCCAGGGTTCGATCAGGATTTTTCAAAGCGGTGTATTGTATTCAATCGATCTCATAGATATCTTCCATTGATAGACGATATCTGCCGAGGCACACCTGATATCAATGGTCGGCCTGCTTAATTTGGGCTACCGATTTCACATGTTGGAAATTCCATACTTGTTTGAAAAATACTGTGTGGAGTGAAGCTATAATAAAATTTTAAAAAATAAATAAATGAGTAGCAATAATTTATGATCGAAACGTCATCCAGTTCTTAGCAATAATGCATTATCATCACTGTGTGACATCTGAAGCAAACTTTTCTAATATGGAATTAAATATGTTCACCTTTAAATTTCGTAGGGATTTTGATTCAATTCACTGAAGATTTCTTCACGGAATAAAATTCACCTTCAGAATCATTGGAAATATAAACAGCACATCGATCACCTGTTTCGTCTTAGCCTGGAACTCTTCAGTAGTTCACACACCCATGACAAACCAAAAACATTCTAACTACGAGGAGAGTTCGGTAACACTCCAGACATTGATTGGAAATTCGCTAATCCTACATCACCTGAAATCTGTATATCAAACCCCATTTCCATTAGTGACTACAGCATAGCAGCCCTTAAGTTTTAATGCGACGTTATGACCAGTGATGCTCATATCTTTTCGGACGTGTGAAGCGGATGCCCCTCGATGGCATCGGTGCTACATCGCGAGACGACCAATCTTAGAGTTCACTGGTTATTCATCATTGGATTCCAAACCAGGGGCTGAACTATCAACAAGCTCACCACCTCATACTGGATTCGATTCTTAATGATGTCATCGCCCTTCTGGCACGAGTCCCAAACTAGGATAAAAGAGGTGTCCAATGCTTCTTATCAGTTATCAGTGTCGATTCGTAAGAACATGGACACTGATAAAAATATGTATTCAGCCACTAATATAAAAAAATAGAATTTGAGCACTGTTCATTTTCTGATTCATATCCAAATTGTGTTCCATTTACTACTGAGTTCATATGTTGGAATGTTGTTGTGTTCTCTGATACTAGGAAACATCTTCAGCGCATACTTCAAAATGAAAATGTTGCCTAGTAGAGCAATGAAAGCTTCACAGATTAACTATCCAGCTCAGAGAACACAACCCCAAGAACTCAATAGTAAATGGGAAACAATTCGGATATGAATCAAAAAATGAACAATGCCCAAGTTCTTTTTTTATATCAGTAGTTGAATACATATTTTTATCAGTGTAGATGTTCTTACGAACCGACACTGATAAGTGATAAGAAGCATTGGACACCTTTTTTTTCCTAGTCTGGGACTTGTGCCAGAACTACGTGCCCACGACGATATCACAACATGATAACCTGGCAAAGATATAAAATTCCACTTCAACAACAAATATGATAAGAATGAACCTACAGTCAGCAAGAAGTGGGTTTTCATCAAACTCGACTTCAAAGGCGATGATACTATGAGAATCATAAATAAAAGATTAAGCGCCGCCCTGTCCAGTATGTATCCTGCGGCAAGGCTAGTCTGTCTGCCTGAACATCTTTCTTATAGGTGCAGTCAAAAATCGACCCGTAATATGTTACCTCTAACTGTATGTACCAATTCACATGTAACTGCCGAGCAGTTACACTGGAAGGACAGAAAGAAAGGCCTACGTCAGATTTTTCGAACATGTACCAAGAAGCTTCCGATTAAGGGAGCCGAGTATTTTAAGCTCTTCAATTACCAAACACCTGATAGACACTGGACACCGAGTAGACATGTTTGGCATCATTCAAAATAATTAACAGACAAAACGCCTCAAGTGTTTTTCGGCTTGCTGAAGCTATCGCAATAAAACGACTGAAACCTGGTCTATGTGTTCAAAAGGAATCTCTCGTGGGACTTCAATTGTCCTAGTGTGATGAGAGCAGGCTGCTAGCCGATTGGTTGACACTAAGCTACGTTAATATGGGCCGTGAGAAAATATGAACAAGGCTGAGTCAACAACCAATCACAGCAAAGGTAACGTGGCAAAATATGATTCGCGGATAGAGAACTCTATTTGTCAAGGAATCCCGAAACAACCAATCAGAAGCCTGCGTTTGTCTGCCTAACTTCTGATAAACAACCAATCAGATGACTGCGCTTGTCTATAATAATGTATGTGAAATATGTATAAATACGTGTTGATTTTCATAATAAAACGATCTGTTGCCTGGCCCTTGTCTTCTGTTGTTACACTAGTGACTCATTCCTTAATAACTCTTGGTCTTCTAGTTTTGTTAGCTTATCTTTTCAACGGGACCCCCCCCACCACCACCACCACCACTCACCTCGTTTCTTTTTTGTTTGACTACCATAAGAGATAATTTTTCTTGACCTTATGAGTTCTGCTCACCATATTACATCAGTATCATCATCAATTTCCTCTGACCTCTTGCACACTAAATTTTGATCTTCTCTTATCTAACTGTGTAATTGTTAGGAATTTTCGTTACAATCCCAACAGCAAACATATCAATTAATTTTCTGTTAACTGCTCTCTAACAAGATGTACATATATACTTACACTTCAGTTACCTTGTCGTCCTGATGTCTTACCTCACCATGACTCGCATATAATATGTTTATTGATGACAAATGTATGTAAAAATTCTACGCTGACTTTAGTTATTATAGATTACAGGTTGTATGCAGCTGATGAGAATCAACGAAATGAAATTGATCCATGATATTTTGCATTGATGTTTGTTCTCTGTTTGCTCAAATTTATAAGAGGAGTTCTCGTCTGAAACTTTGAATTATTTTCATGAGTTGGTTCATAATGATTAGGTTTGTTTTATGAGTTTGACCGTGGATTGATATCAGTTAGAGAACCATTGAAAGCCAGTACTGGAATACTGGACAACTGTTTCGTCATCCTAGTTTAGGAATCATCTGCCTTGGCTGAATGGTTTATGAGCATGACTTGCAGCAAAAACGCCCTTGGTTCGGACCCCAGTGGGTGCATAATGCTGATGATTCCCGAACTAGGCTGACGAAACAGCTGTCCAGTACTCCAGTACTGGTTTTCAATGGTTCTCTAAATGATATCAGTTCGTGATCAAACTCGTAAAAACTTTGTTTAGACACTTGTTAAATAACGCGTTGCTTACTGATGAGTGTCAACAATCACGAAATCTAGGTCAGACAAGGCTTCCTGCTGACTGTCTCTAACCATCAATTGTCAACAATTCAAAGTGCACTGTGATGTCGAGCGGTCTAGTTGCTTGGTGTCCACATTGTATACTTGACTAATAGAATTCAGTCTGCATTATATAAAAGACTAGACACATTACACTAATTAAGAACTAGCGTCCAATCAATGAAGATGTTCACTGTTGACCAGCTACAGGACGACGTTGGCAGCCTACAATTCCAGTGAGTAGTCTCCACTTATCAGTGTGATGCACACGGTCGGATGGTAGTGAGGTCAAATATTCGGAGCCGATGACTCACTGGCTGGTGTCAATCGCGTTGCAGCCACTAGCTGGTAGAAGTTAGAATTCATAAACTGACCACTGAGAAGTCGGCTGACACTGGCTGGCTGAATGGTCTACAAGGTAGTTTAACTTCTAACCGGAATGTCGTGATTTGGAATCCTGGCAGTGGACTAGGCGCAGACTGCAGATGAGTCCCAAACCAGGCTAAAATAGCTGTCCAGTACTCGAGTCTTGGTTTTCGCCAATAGTTCTTTTACTGATATCAATCCATGATCAAACTGGGAGAAAAATATATGTCAGTGAGCATGTGGTGAGAGCTGTCTGCTAGCCAAAATTAGATAGCAATTGACGTGAATGTTCATGTCCCAAATCTCGGCTATGAGAAAAAAACAAGAGAAAAGACTAACTCAACAACCAATCACAGCAGACTTAGTATGGGCGGATACGATTCGCAGATATATGGTCTGACCTTCAAAGTAATGGCCACAAAGAGATGACAGAATGACCTTCAACAGGAAAACAACCAATCATGAGACGCTGTTTCCCTACTAATAATAACGAATAATTAATGTACATAAAAATCTATTAATATCTCTTGGTTTTCTCACTAAATGATCTGTTGCCTGACTCTTGTCTTCTATCGTTACAAGCACACCTTAAATAACTTACCTTTATTTTCAAATTATACGCCTGTTCACAATCCCATTTAATTGTCATAGCACCTTGAAAAGTAGAATATGTACACGTGAAACATGGATATAATGAAAATGCAACGCGTCCGCTTGATGAAGGTGATGACCAGTGATTTATACAATTGATTTGATGATTATCAGCTCCAACATAATAATGATTCATGAAAATGTCTAACATCGACAACAACGATAAAATAATTTGACAATAAACAAAAATATTCATGATCGTTTGAATCACAGTGATACTGATGTTAAATGTTAATTTCCTAAATTAAAAACAAAGAAAAAGCGGAAAATTCAAAAATGAAAGTGTAACTATGACAACAACAAAAAATGAAATAAACATAACAGTTATAAGTGAATTCATATGTTCGTTAAACTACACACATACGCACACGACATGAAGGAAAATTTCACCATTATTTCCTTTAGAAATGATGTTCTCATCTGGTTCATTACTAAAATCAAAACCAACATTAAACGTATTCCCAAGACATGGACCGATAAAATCAAACTATGCTAGCCAAAACCACAGTGACCTTGAACAACCAATCAGAATTCAGACGTGTAGAGAAGTTGCACAATTGTTGAAAAATTCGCTAAAAAGCATTGCAAACATGATATTACACTGTATAGTTGTAGCTGATGTGTTGTAAGAATGTCTTCTACTCAGTACACAGATGACCTATAGAGAAATCGTACCATGCGCGATATGTCCATTCATCCAGGGGGACTGTAGGTTATGGTACTTTCAGATTCATTGATATTTCTGACACTGTTCTTCAACCAACTCTTAACTCTAACCATAAACCTAACTCTAGACCCTAAACCTTAATCTGAAAAGCCACAACCCTACTTAACAGTATAGATTTGCATAAAAAGTACCTAATAAATAAATAGAATACTGTATCTACCCTTTCCAAGTCCAAAAGGGTAGACATCATTTCATTTGCAATGATATTTCATAGCATTCCATGTATCCGGTCGGTTCCTGAAGGTCAAAAAGTTTTGAAAGATCTTGACTTTGGCTATGATACTTTAACTCCACCCATGGACCTAATCAGTTGTCATTCCATATATAGATCATAAATAATCCAATGATATCACAAGACTATTCAATAAAAATTTTCCGTGTGAAAGACCAAAGTCCAAAGGATTCTTAATTCATTTGTATCTAATGATTTAAAATGCTTGGAATCTATAGTGCGATATACATCGGACAAACATTGTGACGGAGAGAAATCAAGATAATCAAAAGAAATGAACACTTTAGAGCTGTCTCTATTAGACCATCGAGAAATCTAGTTGAACTAGAAAAGTTTGAAAAATCACCAGCCACTGGTCTTCTATAGAAGGCGTCCACAGTTCAAAAGTATCGTCCATATTAGTTTGTTTATTAGATGTATCACATGGTCAGTGAAACGGTTTTATTTACTGGATGACGACATTGCGAACACAATCTATTGTTCATAATCATATCAATTATAATCACACGACTTCAAAATTTGAGTTTTATAGTCTTCTTTGTTCTCTCCTATTGGTCGTCGTAGGGGTAGTAGAATTTTCCAGATGTCTGGGTGGATAAGTGTTAGATCATTCCTATTACACGTATTCTCCGCAGTTGATTTGATGAATACAGCTTCCGTTATCAATCTCTCCCTCCACCCTGTTACATTAGATATTAAGACTATCATCTTATCCCATCCCATCCAATTGTATGGTTGGTTGTGTGTAATCACATGTAGGCAGTGCTATAGCTGAACTATTCTCTAGATGCTTTTTATCTTATTCGGGTACTGTTTCAGTCTATAGGGTTGGAGGCAATCGTCACGAAGCCACATCTGATCTAGGTTTCACGCTAGTTGGCACTCACCAGTCAATCAGTTAGTCAGTCAGCAGGGCGTATCTGAAACCCTTCACTACTAAGACTGTCTGTCTGTTTTCGACATAGAACTTTGCACAAATGTGCGGAAGTTCAAGTCGCCACATTCCGTGTAGCATGCGAAGCAAGAGAAGAAAGTACAAGAAATGCATAATAGAGACAGTAAACAGAGGTGTGAGACAAAGGAGTAATAACGAAGAACAAAACAATTTCATTGGAGATCATAATTCACAAGGAGTGGATGCATCTGCGCCACTTATTGAGAACGATTTTAAGCCATGTCACCAATTGTTTCCAACCATAGATTTTTACCGTCCCGAGGACCTCAGCCTGGAAGTCTACACCTTCCTACGTGGCTAAGACCAACTGTTGTGGATTTCATTGACTGGTGCCAAGTTTTTGTTTGACCGCCGCTAGCTCTTTTCCAGCCTGACCCTATATCCGCTAACATTGCTCGTCGAGGGAGGCGATGGCTTGGTATACGTAACACATGTCCTAACCATCTCAGTCTTTGTAGCTTCACGACTTCGTCGATTGATTTCCCCTGTTTACCTAGAACTCTACGCCTAACCTCAATGTTGCTCACCTTATTATGCCACTTTACACGGGAAGTAGAGCGCAGGCACCTATGATCAAAGACAGCTAGTCTGTTCATGTCTTCCACTCTCAGTGGCCAGGTCTCACAACCATAAAGGAGGACGGAACGGACTGATGAGCAGTACACCCGCCCTTTGGTCGATAGTCGAACATCTCGTCTACGCCAGAGTCGGCGTAAACTAACAAATGCGAAACGAGCCCCTTGTATTCGTGCTGAGATTTCGTCAGAGATCAGCCCGTTGGCGTTGGCTGATGGTACTTCCCAAATAAGTGAAGCGGTCAACGTGCTCTACCACTTCACTTCCTATTTTTAAACTAGGCGTCGATGTAGTCCAGTCCTGTAACATCATCTTGCATTTGGCGGGAGCGAATCGCATGTCAAACAGTCGTAGATTGCGGCTCAATGTGTTTAGAAGACTCTGCATTTCGTCAGCATCTTCGCCTAGAAGGACTATATCGTCTGCATATTCCAAGTCAACGAGATTATTCCCTGGTAGCAAGTCAATCCCTGAGTCGCTGAAGTCACCTAGGGTTAAGTCCATTAACACATCTATGATGAAGTTGAATAGAAAAGGAGATATGGCTTTATAGAAGACCGACAGAGAGAGTTTTGGCACTATTTAAGACTTCATCTGAACTTTATTCACTTGACTGTTTAATAACTATTTTTCAGAATTAAATAAACAACAAACTAAATAGAAAATATTCAAAATTACTCACTTTAATTCCTGTCGAAATCACCGCTTGTATGTATTGTTTGTGTAGCATTTCATATTCGACTGACTGACTGCCTGATAGAGCATATATATATGTATGTATATAACACATTTTAATAATTGTGTATTATTCAAAGCCACCGAATGAACAATCATATTGAAAAATAATCAATCGTTATCCGCAAGCGCACACACATACACACACACACACGCCACAAAATAACTCTGGCATTACAATGATAAGAACAGTGCCTCTCTCTCTCTCTGTCTCATTTTGTCGCTTGACTTATATATATATATTTAAACCTAGTGGTGACCTTGAAAAGTCAACCAATCAAATGTCAAGCATAAATTGTTCGCTCTATTCTGACCAGATGATATGAATGATTCAGACTAAATTGTTGTATACACACATGACATATATACAACGCACATACATGAACTATAATCGCGTATCTAACTTATTGTTTACATGAGTGTTGTTTTTTTTCTCTCTTGTGATATGTGTAATTAGATGTTGACAATTTAAATATTATTTATTTTTTTCAAGCATAGAAACAGAACACAAGTGAAATAACTTTTAAGGGCAACAGTAAAGAGAATAGACACCAACTTCAGACGACCTTGAAACAGCCAATCAGATTCTTCTAGGTGAAAATAGGACGAAATGCGCATCCTGGATTCCACTGCTGTATACAAATCAAATCCTCAGACATCGTCGAAGCATCTGCACAAGAAGCCGACATGTCAACCTGAGACCGAGCACTTCGGTACAAATAATCGACGAGAAAGTCAAAAAATTCAATTCAAAGTGGTACTTCATTTACAAAGTGTATCTACGACATATATATGTATTAAAAATGAATCATATAGGTTATATATATGTATATAATATGCTGCAATAACTGGTCCCAGATTCTCATAGAAGTGCTTAAAGACGCATCAAACCAATATGTATTCTGTATTCCTCCAGCTGTAGCAGATACTGGTTGCATATACCCAATATATATTCCAGAGGGATAGCTTTGATTTCGAGAAGAAAGTGTCTAAAGAAATCACCAGTTATATAAGATTTATCAACTTATACAGACTTCGTCATATGAAGTGGTTGCATAATAATAATAATAATAATAATAATAATAATAATAATAATAGTAATAGCTTTATTCCAAAAACAGTACTACTGATACAGCAAGGAATTTTCAGCATTCAGTACAATATTGCATCTAATTTACTCAAAAACGACAAAAAAAATTATAAATACACATTACATAATAATAATAAAACGATTGTTACAGCAGCTACATAGCAAAATACTGTATGCAATACCGTGAAAAATATGCATAAAGTATAAAATTGTAGTAATAATAGTAATACCAACTAAAATAAAATAGCAGAGTAATAATTTAACGACAGAAAGTGTGACGCCATAAAATACAGAAAGATGAACTATGAAAGGGTCGATTTACTGTGCTAATTACATAGTAACTTGTAAGTTTCACGTCTAACAGAGTCTTTATCACATAAAGTACGGGCTTAATAGGGTATTGTAGAATTTCTGTACTTAGTGGTACGAGCATATAACTTTTTTATGTAGACTTCTCGTCCTATCTGATGAGAAACAAGGGGATAGGTGTGAAGAAAGGGGGTGCAGAGATTCTGACAGTATAGCCTTTGCCCATTTTGTACAGGAATTTATATGCCTCTCGACTATAGTATTGGCGAGCTCATTCAGTGGCAGACCACAAGCCCTACTCACAGCATTTAATACTCTTCGTAATATGATATAATCTTTTTTGAGAAGCCCAGGAAAGATTAATGGAGAGCAATAGAGTACAATAGGTAAAATGCAGGAGTTTGAAAATGTATAATGAATGTATAACCATCAATAATAGCCCGGCAATACTTTTCCAGAGTTAATTATCCCTCAACTACATATGCATGTTTTATTCCTCCCTATCAACACATTATCTAGAGAGAAGTGGAAAAAACTAAATGTAGGAGACGCTTTTAAAGAGGATTGATTAC